GGGAAAGAGCAATTAACATGAGTCATGAATGAGTGTCCTGCATGGCAGTAAAATAATGTATGAAATTAAGCACATACTAAAACATGGATAACAAGTAAAAGCTGCTGACCACTGTTCTGCAGTTTCATTGAAACCAGGCCTGAAAAATGGATGAAAGAAAGTCAACAAACTGCATGACTCACTGAGTTTAGACAGTGCCAAAAATAAAACAACTTACTGTAGTAGTGACTCATTAACAGGTGATAATTTCCTGAGGGGAAAAATGCGAGCATGTTCAAAAAATGAGATTAGAAAGTAGGTCTTTAATAATCTAAAACCTATCGTTAAAAAAAGTAGGCCATGTCCAAAATTGTGACTGCACTTGGTTAAAAACTAGGAAACAGTGACTCTGTGGTTGTATGTGTGTGATCCTGGCAGGGGGACTCACAGGGTGTTGGCAATGACCAGCAGGTCTGCGTTGTCAAAGAGGGCTACATGAGGCCACTCTACCAGCAGGAGGAAAGTGAGCTGGATGAACAGCATCAGAGCCAGCTTCCCTATGCTGCTGATGTGGAGAAACACAGAGCAGGCCAGCAGGGTCAGCAGCACACTGTAGCTGAAATACTGCAGCAGCAGAGACAGCGAGGGAGGAGGAGGATGATTATTAGGTGATTATTTAAACATACTTCTCACGCACACAGAAAAACAAACATGAACATGAGCACACATGCACACACAAGGTATGTGTGTAAACATGCAGAAAACAAATAACACTAGCACACACACATGCTAAAATGTTATGGGCCTGACCTCAGGGAAATGGCAGGGCATGGCCTGGCTGGAACACAGAGTTAAACCATCCTTTGCTGCCTTGGTCAGATTGTGAAGGAGGCAAAGAGTCACTGATGTGTTCAGCTCTTTGGCCAAACAGTCCTGCAGTTTCTCTCTGCTGCAAGTGAACTGGCAGAAAAGAAGGATGCAGTTTATCACTTGACAGTCACTTAGTAAAGATGCAACAGTAAGATAAAGCAAATGTTATCCTGGAAACAGTAAGCCCAATTATAACACATGCACAGTTGAACCCAGGCGTTTCCATACACTTAGGTTGAAGTCATTAAAACATATTTTTTTAGCCACTCCACAAATGTCATGTTAACAAACTCTTGTTTTGGCAAGTCACTTAGGACATGTACTGTATGCATGACACAAGTAATTTTTCCAACAGTTGTTTACAGATAGATTATTTCACTATAATTCACTATATCACATTTCCAGTGGGTCAGAGGTTTACATACACTCAGATGACTGTGCCTTTAAACAGCTTGGAAAATTCCAGAAAATGATGTCATGGCTTTAGAAGGTTCTGATTGGCTAATTGACATCATTTGAGTCAATAGGAGGTGCAGCTGTGGGTGTATTTTAAGGCCTACCTTCAAACCCAGTACCTCTTCGTTTGACATCATGACACAATCAAAAGAAATCAGCCAAGACCTCAGAAAAAATATTGTGGACCTCCACAAGTCTGGTTAATCCCTGGGAGCAATTTTCAAACCCCTGAAGGTATCATGTTCTTCTGTACAAACAATACTATGCAAATATAAACACCATGGGACAACGCAGCCGTCACACTGCTCAAGAAGGAGACACGTTCTGTCTCCAAGAAATGAATGTATTTTGGCCTGAACATTACAAGTCAATCCCGGAACAACAGCAAAGGACCTTGTGAAGACACCGGAGGAAAAAGGTACCAAAGTATCTATATCTACAGCAAAACCAGTCCTATATCGATAAAACCTGAAAGGCCGTGTAGCAAGGAAGAGGCCACTGCTCCAAGACCACCATAAAAAAGCTGACTATGGTTTGCAGCTGCACATGGGGACATCATGGGAGGTCTTACTATTTGGAGAAATGTCCTCTGGTCTGATGAAACAGAAGTTGAACTGTTTGGCCATAAGGACTATCGTTATGTCTGCAGGAAAAAGAGGGAAGTTTGCAAGCCGAAGAACACCATCCCAACCATGAAGCACGGGGGTGGCAGGTGTGCTTTCCTGCAGGAGGGACTGGGACACTTCACAAAATAGATGGCATCATGAGGAAGGAAGATTATGAGGATATACTGAAACAACAGCTCAAGACATCAGCCAGGAAGTTAAAACTTGGTCACAAATGGGTCTTCCAAACAAACAATGACCCTAAGCAGACTTCAAAAGTTGTGGGAAAATGGCTTAAGGACAACGAAGTCAAAGTATTGGAGTGGCCATCACAAAGTCCTGACCTCAATCCATTAGAAAATATCTGTGCAGAACTGAAAAAGAATGTGCATGTCATGATTCGGTTCCGCTGCTTCCTGTCTGACTTTTTTTTTTTTTTTACCTTACTTCCTGTTTTTGTTTCACCTTAGTCTCAGTCTTTTTACGTTCTTCATCACTCACATTAGTTTCACCTGCTTCGTTATTGTTTGCACCTCTATTTAGGCAGCATCCTCCCACAAGGACGCTGCCAGATTGTTCTAGACTCCAGCTCTGACTCTCCAGCATTTCTTCGGTTTTGGTATTTTGTGTTTTGACCCGGATTGTTACCTTGGACTATTCTATTCTGCCTCGCCCTCTTGTTACGGACTGCCACGGTGTATGATTATCGGACTTTCCCTTTGGACAACGAACTTTGGATTCCCCTGGATGTATGTGTTTGCTGGCTCTGATCTTGGACTGTTATACCGACCGTGAGTTTTGTGTTTCCACCATGTCTTGTATGGTTTTTTGTTTACGTTAGTTCTCTTATTAAAGAGACGGGTTTTGTTCATCACTTCCTCGTCTGGCCATTTAATGAGTTCACCAAAACCTTTCGGCGGCATCGCGCGCCGTCTCTGACAATGCAACCAAGTAGGTCTACAAATCTGATTCAGTTCCACCAGTTCTATCAGGATGAATGGGATAAGATTCCAGCAACTTATTGGAAGACGCTTGTGGAAGACATCCCAAAAGGTTTGACCCAAGTTAAACAATTCAAATGCAATGTGACCAAATACTAACCAAGTGTATGTAAACTTCTGACCCACAGGGGATGTGATGAAAGAAATAAAAGCTGAAATAAATCTCTTTCTCTACTATTTTTCTAACATTTCACATTCTTAAAATACATTTTTGTCATTTCAGTCATTTAATTTAAAAAGTCTTGCCAGAGGATTTTAAAAACCTTTTGTCATATAGCTTTAAAAATATTGACTGTTACCTACTGTACTGTATGTACTCACACAATAATACAGTAATAGTGAAACAAAGAGTCCAAAATAAAAGCAGACTGGCAAATAATAAACAACCCAGAGGTCTAATTTTAAAAAGATGGTGCAGAATTCCTTCAAATGTCTTGAACATCTGAGATAAAATGTATGATATAACATTGGAAAGAGAGACAAATGAAACTGAGACAGACACATAGCCCCTTCCCTGGCTGTACCAGGTGGGACATCTCATAGCAATGTGCTTCTGGTAACTCTTACAACCATTTTAACAACAGGACAAATTGAAGAGCTGTAGTCCCTACCATATTTGCAAAAGAAGAGATGAAGAGGAGGAGGATGGTGAAGATGCCCACTAGTGTGCTGTTTGCATGAGACTGGACTATTTTCTTGGTTACAGTTTGCAAGGCAGCTGGGAAGAGCTTGAAAACACAGTAGGTAGCAGAGAGAAGATCAGATAGGAGAGAGTTAAAACCATTAGTGAGGCTAGCTGAAGACATGATAATGACTTATTTGAAAAAGGAGTCATAGTGGTGAGGGACTTTGCTTCTTACTTTGATGCAAGAGTAGATGGCACAGATGAAGAGGATGGTGGCAAGGATGATGAAGATACTTGTATAAAGCCCAAGCATAAGTGTTGTTCTGCGGAAGACAAGAAAATAGGCTAATTAGGAAGTTATTAACTCCTCTTAAACTAATCAAGAGTGCATTTCCTGTCCACAGTTCAGTATAATTTCCTGTCCACAGTTCAGTATAACTGGGAAACTCAAACTACTTACTTTGGGAAAATGATAATCTGAATGAAACAGATGAAACAGAAAACTAGGAGTGTGCAGGCCACATATCCCCCAAAACGATCGTCAACCTTTTTGGAGTACTGCAAACAGAAAATCAATGAAAAATTACTTTTCTCGCAGCAGGAAATAATAAGTTCCATTTATTTGACAGGTAGTTTTAGTGAATTACAAACAAACTCCCATTAATTACCTTTTTCTCAAGCTCTGCAGTCTGAAAAGTGAGCAGAAATTTCTTGACGTGATCCTTCCTCAGTTGGTCGATGCTTCGTGCATCAATGGCTCGTCCAAGAAACTCGTCCACCTCATCCTCGGGGTTCAGGGCCTCCTGAGTACAGCGGCTATGAGGTAGAAGGAATAATAGGTCACTGTGTGGTGTGTATCTGTTTGCGTATATGTGTCTAAGTGAGGAATTGGCCTACTCTGTGACAGGCAGGATGACTCAGAGGTAATATGGTATTAGTTCTAGGTTGGATCTGACTGTATAAAACCAACAGTGGGTTCTAAAGTTAGACTACTACAGTGACAGTTTGGCAGTCAAACACTAATAACAAAAGCCGCCCTGATAAAAACTGGGGCCAAAGCACTTACTTGTCTTTGCTGGATGCTTCATCGATGCCCTGAGAAAAACAAGAACAGAGCGAGAGTGTGAAAACTAGAGCAAAAACAAGAGACAGTGCATGATGGAGAAAGAGAGAAAGGGAAGAGATTATCACATAGCCACAGTACAACTGAAAAATAGACAGAGACTCAGACATCTGCACAGCTAATCCCTGAGAGCCAGACTGATGTTTTAATTAATGCTCAGAGGCTTCAAATTACACCCTCGTTGCCCCTAGGGCTCAAACCCTCACAGATGGAAAAGACAAAAGGCAGGAGAAGTGGGAAAGTATGTAGCAAAGAAAATTAAATGAGACATGTAGCATAAAGAGAGGGAGGAGGTAAGAGGGAATAAGAGGGAATGAGAAACAGAAACACATGCAGCTGCAGCATCATCAGATTAGCTTCAGTAGTAAATGATGCACTGTGAATCCCTGGGAGCCCTGGTCTAACTCCTGCTTGTTTGGCAAGAACAAATCAATACTCCTCACAGTGAGTAGAGTCCCACGGTCTGCTTTAGGCTTTCCTGTACTGTATGAGTAGTACTGTACACCTCTGACACACCAAAGCATCTCATTCATTCAAAGTTAAAGTATTCTAAAAGAAGCAAGACTAAGAGTTTACAGCCATGCCAGTGGACAACAACAATGCTAACATGCTAATTTAAGCAGGAGTGGTGTTTACCATGTTCACCATAGCTCATTGTTTTAAAATGCTAGCATTTCCTTATTATTTGCTTTATTTACCATTTTTATAAGACAGTAAGTAGGAAATAATATTATGGCTGTAGTTGAGAAATTGAAGAAAATTAAAAAGCGCAAAAGGGTTTTAGTAAAAAAAAATAAAAAATGTTGCTATCCATGTTGTGTTTAATCTGAGAAGATTAGAATAACAATACCATAAAATCTTATGTCTGATTCCACTGTATTCTATAAAGATGCCTAACAGGATAGCTGTGACCTTTCATTGTTATAGTTCAGTGTTAAACCAGAGCTAAACACGAAGGGGGTGTTGCGGCTCATTTTCTGGTGCTAAACATTGAAATTGCATGTGTTCATGTTTACTAAGGAGTCGCAGTGGGGTTTTGCAGTGGATAATCAGAAGAAATACGGCACTACAGGAATTTGCACATCTGGTCTCATGCGATATGTATTTTAAGACATTCCCATTCAAGGGTGCAAAAATCAGGAAGGAGAGAATAGAAATTTATACATGTTTCCATATGATTTATCACCACTGCAACAGAGGGAACTGTGGCTGAAATTTACCGCCAGGAAAAAGCAGGTGTAAAATTTGCAGCCCTGCTCTCAGCATGGCAGCTGTTAGTCATCAGAGATCTCTTCGGAGTTAAGAACATGTTTGACAAGGGAGAGGGTGTTTCCAAGTCCCATCGCTCGTCAGAGGAGCGCGTGAGAGATTTTTACAGGCTTTCAGGTCAAACTGTGCTTCAGTTACAGAACAAAATAAATGATTTGACTGGGAGGAGACTACGCGACTGCCGTTCTGAAATGTGTTTGTTGATTTCTGCAACCATATTAAAGTCATCGTAAACCTGGACTTCCTTCTGCACTTCCTCTCAATCCGCACACGCACAGCAGCCTTCAGGCAGCAGATACAAAGCAGAGGTGTATTAAATTAATATAGCTGTGCTCGTTTACATCATCAGTGTTGGTAAATACACTGCTAAATAAAAAATATTTTCTGTGTCTGATGGTAATTTGTGTCAAGTTTAGTAAATATCCCACAAAGTGCAGATGAGGCAGAGAATGTCAGTAGTTTGCAAGTTGTAAATCAAATTATTGGACAAACCAAAATTTTGACCTAATGATGTAGTGGATCATCCATTACAGTTCATAGTACAGATGCCATGTGCTCAGCTAAGTGCTCCGTGCATGTATCTCACCATCTGCCTGAAGACTTTGGACTCCTTGGTTCTGGAGAAAGATCTGTCAGGCACCCAGCGTGGCATCAGTCCCTCCGCAGAATTTGCACGTGCTCGCTGCATCTTGGCGATCATGGCCTTTTCCTCTTTCTGGAAGTGAAGAAACTCGACTAAGGTACGTGATTTGACAAACAAAGTCTTCTATGCAAGGTGACAAGTTATTATACAGTTTGTGTGAAATACAGCACTAGTGTGAAGTTCAACGTGGACTCAAGCACGTGTGTGTGTGTGTGTGTGTGACAGTGCACTAACCCTCTTCTGGCTGCAGCCCAGCACCAAGAAGGTTTCAATGTTGTGCTCTTTCAAGTAAGCATTTCTCTCTCCTCCAAATCCTGGCTCCACCTCGTAGTCCCCATTCAGATACTGCAATGTGGCTTTGGTAATGTGGATGCGCCTAGACACACACACACACACACACACACACACACAAAAACATGCAGTACAATGTGTCAGAAACTAAATGGCCTATGGAAATCCATGTCAGTACAGTAGCAGGGTGGACGAGAGAGACTTACCCAGCCTTTCCTCCAGCTTCCATTTGGTTGGCAAGCGTCACATCATTGGACCAGACATCAAACTGCCACTTGCGCAGGCCCAGCACCCCACAATGAACGCGCCCGCTGTGGATGCCCACCCGCATGTTTACATTAACGCCCGTCACTTCTCTCACCAGCCTAAAGATGCACACACACACAGGCATGCACACACACTGTCAAAAACGTGTCATCTTCAGATTTGGTAACCTGTGTGGCAATATCAAAGCAAAAATCTTTACATAACCTTCACTGGAATAATAGTACTTCACTGTAAGGGTGTGTGTTCTTGTTTTCAGTGTGAGTCTTTGTGTTTCAGTGCATCGGAGTGGGAGTCTTTGTGTTTCAGTGCATCAGAGTGTGCTTGACTCACGAGATGGCTTCAATCATGTCGACTCCCATCTCCACACAGCAGTGGGCGTGGTCAGCTCGGGGCTCAGGCAGCCCTGACACACAGTAGTAACAGTCCCCGAGGATTTTAATACGCAGGCAGTGGTTCTCCTGTGCAGCAAGGAGACACATAAACCCAAACGCATGTAAAGCAGTAGGCCCTCAGTTATAACCAATACAGCGCATACATGTCAGATACAGAGCTGCTTCTGAATAATTTAGATGACTCATCAGTCTCTGCATAGTTTCACTTGTGAGTTACACAGGTGCTTAAGTAACCCTCACCCCTACAAGTACATCATGTTGGCTTTGTCACACTACCACTGAAGGATACAGACTGTACAGTTACATAAGCAGCAGTGGTTCAAAGTTCTGCTGTGAAAACGGCAATGGCAGGTGTCAGTGCTCACCGAGGCCAGCTTGTCAAAGCGAGCGAACAGCTCGTTCAGAGTCATGACCAACTCCTGGGCCGTGCACTGAGATGCCAGGCTGGTGAAGCCCTCGATGTCTGCAAACAGTATGCTGCAAGAGAGGTGATGTTGGTGGCATGAGGGATCGAAGAAGAGGGTAAGGGGAAAAGAAAGACAAAGGAGACAGAATGAGATAAATCATTAAAGTCTAAAGTTAGTTGGTCTAGCACATCCCTCTCTCCTCACCGTCCAACTGCCATGTGAGCAGAAGAGAGAAAGGCAGACTTTTGTTCATCTTTGGCTCTCATCATCTAGGCCAATGTAGGTCACCTCCTCCAACCCGTCCCTCTGAGAACACCACCCCCCTCCTCCAGTCTGCATGCCTTTCATTGCTATCGTTTGATAGTAATGAAAGGCATGGGTAAACAATACCACAGACACTAACTTCAAGTTGATGGCGACAGATGGCGCTGTTAGTCCCATGAGGTCATACATTGGGGGGAGAAGGGGTCCATCATTATAGCAGCCCAGAGCCTGTCTATGTCTACCACCTTGACCAAGACTCTGAGCCATGATGTCACTGGGTCTATAAGAGTCAGTTCACCCAAATTGCAAACATATTTTCCCACTTAGTTGTAGTGCTATCTAGCCATGCAGTGGCTGTAGTTTTAATATGCAGCTGTATTTGCCCATGATCCTGCTGCCACTGTGAATAGTTTTCATTGGAACTACTTTCTACTGCAAAAATGCAGTAATCCCACACAAAACTGACAGTAGGCTGATGGATGGAGAGTTTTAATCACCTGTTAGTACTGAGTTATTCCCACTTGGACGGTGAAATCCAGTGGTGAGGGAACAGTGGTGTACCAGCCAGTGTCAATAAACAACAACATGCATAATACATGGTGTCAGAGAATTAGCTGCTGGAGTGACTCTGTACCTGACACATCAGTCAGCGGAGTGAGGTCAAAACCACTGTTGGCCCTGCTAGCTGTGATAGCAAAACACACACAGTCGCCAACATCTTCCTGTCCTGGGTGTGTGTGTCAGTGTGTTTACTTAGAAGTATGTATGTGTATTTATCTGTGTTTACCTAACATTGTCATGTTTTTGAATATAGATCTTGTGGAACATCATATCTTCCTTCTTGGCATTGATATCGGCCTTCATCTCCATAGCAACATGCCTTGGCAGCACTGACAGCAGTAGGCGTTCCTAAAAGAGAGAGAGAGAATAAACAGAGAGCGAAATTAAAGAAAGAAAGACAGAGAGGGAGCTCATTCATTTTCATCACTTTTTTACCATTAGAATGCTGAGTGAGTCACCCTGCCTTGCTGGTATCTGCGTGGGAACGTGTTAGTCAAATAGGGAGGAGTGGAGATATGTGTTATACTCCAGAACATATTGTTAACCTCGAAAACTGAGACAAACAAATTTGACTAGAAAATGGAGACATCCATTTGATGCTCTTTTGCATTGATGTGTGCATTTAGTTTTCCTACAGGACACAGCCATGGCTGTTTCTCTCACTTATTTGTTTGAACACTTGTGTGTGTGCATGTGTACCTGCTGCTGGTTCTCCCTCTGCAGGTGTAGTCTGGCCTGGATGTATCCTCTCGTTTCCTGGAAGGCTTGTCTCTGGGAGACCTCAGCAGGGTAGTGGGTACAGATCCCGATCATGTTAGTGCACAGGAAGATCAGCACGTTGGCATAGATCTGAAAATACACACACATACACACAAACATGACAGAGATGGTGACCAAGGGGGAAAAGCTGTATGCATGTGTCATATCACAAACTCCGCCAGACTTGGGTGAGGCCAATAAACAAAACTGATAACACTCTACATCACTGAATTTACTTAAAGGAGAAAAATTCCTTAAACATCTGAGGGGCCATTAGATGTGATGAGATAGATGATGACTGTGGTCTGGTAGTTGCTCTGCAAGACAATATTCTCCTCATGCCACATGTGGAGCGACAGATAGACACCCCAGAGGGTTGAATGTGATGCACAAAGACTGTCACTACAATTTTCATTCTTTAGTTGAAAAATTGTATTGTCTTTGTAGTTTGTATGGGATCGATTCAAAATAAAAAGGTGGATTCAACCAACATGTGAAAGGATGGCTTCTGTTGAGATAGAATCCTGCAAAACAGTTTTTTGTTGTCAAAATGCAGATATAGTATTTGCATTACTGAAAAGCAGACAGAGCAACTTTCAAGCAACTGGTAATGTATTTGAATATACAGTTTTAGATACAGTAGAAACAGAAGCAGCCATTCACATTCTTGTGTGTAACCCATGCAATGAGATAGTTTGCTGGTTGAGCAATAAGGGTCTGAGAATGCAGTGGCACACATTGTAGAGCAGCATTGTCTGTAGCTTGAGTAAATGAAGGTTAGATTTAGTGTGCAGTTAGATTTCAGGGGTCATCGACCTTAAAAGCTTTCCCCTGTGCTGCTGCAGCCGCTTTCTGTGTGTGTCTGTGTGTTCCTGGATATGTGTGGTGAGCCAGTGTGTCAGTCTGTTAGTGAATTCTCTCATTAGTCTACAGCCAAAATCAAAAATCAGAGATGGAGCCTTAGGCTCTGGACTTCCCCTCCCCTCCCCTCAAAAACACACAGGCATGCGTGCACACGCACACATTCTCTCCATGTTCAGAAACACACTCCAGCCTGGGAAAGTCACTTGACTCATGACCTGTGACCAGAGCACAGTGTGTTTCCTCTGAAGATGACATCATTAATAATGAGAAAAGGACATGCAGGCCCCGTACACACATAAAGGCTGGATTTTAATCAGTCTTAATAACAACATCCTATGACAACAAATTCCTATCACCAGTACTAGTATGAGCCGTGGCTGGTATGTTACCAGACCAGTGCTTGTTTGTAATTGTAATTTGTGTTTACTGAAAAGATGGTAGGAGAGAGATGCAGGACTGAGATAGAGGGACAGACATCACATATTTTCCTGCATGTCCTTTCAACAATGCGAATAAAAATAAGATTAAGAAGATCATTAAACTACTTAACGACTTTGTGTCCACACATGGATCAAAACTCCCAGTAAATCTGGGTGGAAATACAGCCTCAAACTTGTAGAATACTGGTGCCCTTTGTACCACGGTCCTGAAATGAGGTTTACACTCCATACTTAAGAACTTTGTTGTCATAACAAGACACTGAACACCTAACAACCTGTGTTTGAAACAGAACACTGTTAATGTAGGACAGTGGCTGGCAAACCCCACTCAGTGGAAGTTTCCTACTATACATGAAAACAAATGGTCAAACTAGACTAGGTGCACAGCAGTAAGCAAAAAACAAACAAACAAAAAAAAAAACACTGCAAGCATAGAAGCCAACAAACTTTTGATATAATGGGTAAACACAGAACAACATTATTTATGGACTAACAACAGTGCACCCAAAATGCATCCTCATTTTTTTTTATTTCTGAAGGATAAAGATATAGCCAGGCTCCCTGAACTCCTTGATGTAGAATGACTGTCGCAAACTCTCGGTCAGTGTTCATGGATTCAGATCAAAGCTGTCAAGGAGTGTGAGGCATCTCATCATGAGGCAATTGTACATCAGGGGTGAGGATATACAAATCACATCCACTGGTGTTCTTTACTCACTGAGCAATTGCTCTCTAAGTGCAACATTGAATTTGTGCTGCACTGTCACTCAATTAGTGATTAGCCTATTGTGTTCCCAAACCCCTGACAGGCCAGGGCTTCCAGATAAGCAACGTAATGTTGTAGACCACCAGCGGAGACCTGACACTTCAGTCTTGAATGGCTCTGATATAACCAGATCACATTAATCCCAAACAGATGGCTCTGAAAAGAGTGAGCCAGATAACTTAGTTAAGTGGCCTGTCTGAGATACAGGGCCACCTGCAGTTCCCAGGACTGCACTCCTCCACAGTGCACTCAGTTTACATTCAGACAATTCAGCTTCCCATGTGAGTGTGCTCACGTTTCAATCCAAGTTAAGCCATTCCTATCAAACTGATTTTGACAGGCAACAAGGGTGCACTTAAACACAGCTCGGAAGGTCAAACATGAGAATTTGCGTATTTTTGTTGGACAGTAAAGTGCAAAATAATGGAGTGATAGCAAATGTATTTGCAAACACAAGTGCAGCATCTACTGATTCTCTGCAAAAGCCTACAAATATGAGCTGGTACACTTCATTTAGGAAAAAAGATAAGGCCAGTCATTTCTATATGGTAGGTAGGCAGGTAGGTACCAGATATATCACCAGTATATCAAACACTCTCTATATAGAGACTAAAACCGACAATGATTTGCCTCTACTCACTGTCTGTCAGTGCTGGATTTATGTATTCATCTGTGCCATAGACCTCCGTTGTTATTCAAAAACAATTTAAAACACATCAGGGAAACACACCACTGTACTTGGTGACATATTTCTTCATTAGCAAACACCAGACCCAAATGTGATGAGTTAGCAGAATGTAAACAAAGGAGCAAGCTCGCATAAAATCTCACGTATGCACAGCTGACTCTGACCCATGTTAACTTCAGGAACGTATGGCCGCTTGGAGACTTTGGGGCAGCATAGTCAAGTCTGGGGTTTTGTAATGAAAAGAAATGTCATCCAGTGCAGAGGTGTGCTTCCCTAATTTGTTTTTAAATCGTTTTTGAACAACAGTGGACATCTATCGCACAGACTGACAGACATTAAATGTGAGTAGAAGCAATTCATTGTCAGTTTTAGCCTCTGTATGGAGATTGGTGAAAATGCTATAAATAGAGAAAATGACTGGCCTCATCCTTTAAGCATTAGTAGATCTGAAAAACAACTGACTGACAACATCTTGAACGATGGTTCAATGTAACAGCCTGATAGCTCTGAATAAGTGAAACTAAAGTGTGGAGAAGCATGATGAACAAAGCCTGGGTTAATCCCAAATTATATGTTATCACCACACAGTGTCAAGATTAGAACAGACACATTCAGAGGTTTTGAATAAATATTGTGTGAGCTATATCTGTGTGTGTGTGTGTGTGTGTGTGAGAGAGAGAGAGAGAGAGAGAGAGAGAGAGAGAGAGAATAGTTTTGGAGCTCTTAGATCTTGAAGCTTGTTGTGTTTGTTGTTGCACTTGGTTCACCCAAGCTTCCAAATCCAGCACAGGCCGTTCTGTCACTCCTCTCTTCAAACACTGATGTGGTGTAACAAGAGCAGAAGTAGCTTCTCTTCATTAACACAGTGTCACTCTCTTTATTACAACTAAGATGGATTGAGACTACAGTATGTTCCACCAACATCTCCTCCTGACCATTCTTCCTGTAGACCTCTGGCTCTTAAAGATGATCCTCACTCAACATTTACTTAAGCAGGAACCTCTTGGCGGTGAAGTTAAAAAGAAGTCCAAACATTGGCTTATAAGGTGCGCCTCCCGGCAAGTTGCTTTTTACAGTATGGCAGTCAGATAGCATGTAAAAGAAAGAATGAAGAATTGGGATGGAAAAGATTTTTGCTTGGCAAACATACAGCAAAGCCCTTCTGTCTTCAATAATATCCCAGTGGACAATTCCCTCACACACAAGCACACTGGAATGTACACGTGTACAGATCAGGTTTTCACAGCAAGGTCATTATTCATTCATTCAACAACTAAACTTGGTGGTCACATGTTGAACAATTGTAACTAATATTAACTCCTATGGCAGTGTACTGAAAGGAGGTAAAAGGTCAACTAAGAACTGATAGCAATAGATACAGTATGACAAACTGTCACGTCTTAAAGGTATTGTTCAGGTAATCAGTGTTTATATTTGTCCGGGAATATAAGAAAAGGCCTGCAATGAAAGATAAGTTCAGAACCCTTGCTCCACTGAAGCTGAAGTTTAAACTTTAAAAGGCAAGAGTGCTATGTCCTATAAGTCAACACACAGGCTCTGGGGACACTCACTGTGGTTGACATGGAGACTACTCTCCAGCGCATGACCTTTGATAGGCATCCGGAGCTTTTAAAATGTCTTAGAGAGATGAGGCTCCGTCATACACCTCTGGTCATAGCCTGAAAAGATAACATGTGGTACCAGAGTGTTAAAAATAGGCAATATTATGAGACTTTGTTGCACTAGTCCTGATGTAATAGGGGTTACTATAATGTGTATTTAGAAAAAAGCTATTCCTTATTAAGATAAATGTTGCAAAATTGTGGGGGGGGGGTCCCCTCATTGCTGTCCTGGGTCCCTGCCATCTGGAATTGGAGCTCCGTGTTCATCATGGTTTGGGCCAAGCCAAAATTGGTCTCAAGCGACCAGTGAAGCCACGAAGTAATCTTTGTGAAATGCTGAAATGAAGCTAAACAGAGTTGGACCTAGGCCGCACATCTGTCAGAAAAAAGAAATCCTGAACTAATCCTTGCACATAATCATTGTCCAAGCATGGAAAATCTCTCCTAAAAGTACTGACTAAAACAAATTGGAACCACCAGATAAAACTACCCCCTCAATTTTTCTAATTTGAACCACAAATTTTTCATCAAATCAAAACATTATAATGCTCATTTATCTGTCTAATTCAATATGTCAACCTCCTGTTTACTACTGGAGTAAAGTTCAGTAGTTACAATAAGTAGCATTTGGTATCTGGCTATGATTTTATTACAACATCTATAAGTACCCGTAGAGCCTGAATACAGTCATAAACAAGATCTGACAACAA